GGAACCTGGCTCGCTGAAAGTTTTATTTTATGGCTAAAGCCCCCCAGTCTGACACAAAACAACTGCAGAATCTAAACCTCAGTGTGTTGGAACGCCTTTTATTTCTAAGGATAAAAAGTACTGTTTCTAGGTGCCACCCACTTCAGTGTTCTGATCCAGAATAATTGCTTATCCTTTTACACAAAACGGCAGCCCCTTCCCCACATGACTGAGGGGAGAGTCTGGGGTGAAAAACAAAAATCCCGTCTTTGCAGCAGGACTGTGCTTGTAAAACAAACATGCCCTTTCATCGCTGGATTTCAAAGACCTTCAGCTGGAACCTTGAAACTCTCCAGAACACTTCTGCGTCCCAAGAAGTATACCTACAGCCTTGATAGGTCATTTCAAATGTAGCAGAGCAGGCAGTTGGTAAACCTACTCCAGCTGGAGGTTCCTGTCCTCAAGAAATGCCTGAGCTACCTTAACTGTCTCCTCTCGATCCAGAGGAGCAGTGACCCAATCCAAGGTTCTCCTGCGTTGCCAAGCTCTGTTACAGACAGTAAGCCCAGCAGCCCTATGGAGAAGCCTTATTTCTGCCACTTGCAATCTCATTCTTTTAGACACTACCCAACGCACGTGACCACAGGTGAGGACGGGGATGTAGATCTGCTGGAGAACTGAGAGCTTAGTTCAAAAACTCAGCTCCTGCTTCACCTCATGGGTTCAGAGCCAGGCATCACTCTGTCCTCCCTGCTACTTCTCTGCATGTGTGGTTCAATGTGCTGCTCAGAAGCGCATGTTCCAGCTCCAAATTACCACTCATCACGTGTTCCAGGATTAATTGTTCATTAAGCCATTTATGATTTGCCTCCTATGTAGTAGAGGAAAGGTCACAATAACTCACTGCAGATGCATTGATGCCAGACTGTCCAAAAAGGTATTAATGTAGTCCTGTAATCACAGCAGGCTGAAATACTTGTACACATGACTGTCCCTGGTTCTGACTTGTTGGGACTAATACCAGAGGAAACGTTCTAAGACAATTGAATAGGGTTTAAACAAAACGCCTGCGATGGTGTTTTGTTCTACAGATGAAGCTATTCGGGCAATATGTAATTTGCTGTGTCATTTGTTATACTGTTAATGTTCCTTCCACCCAGTAATTACAGTGTGCAAGCATTTCTGTATGGAAGAGGAATGGAAATTAAGAACATCATGAAATAGTTTGTTTTTGACATAGAATTTGCAAGGCTGCTATAGACTTAAAGGAGCACATTGCACACTTTGGACTTTACGGCCCGCTCAGTAAAGCTGACCTCTGTTGTTAAAAGCCTTCTTAGTGACCTCTGGTATATTGAGTTAAGTACTTTCTGACAGTGTTACAGAGGAGGGGAAATATATGCCTATACTTGACTCATATGGTGGTCTAGCAACATCTGCATTAATTTCTTGATTTGTGAATCAGAAAATGGCAGTAAAAGGCTTGAAGCCAGGTCAAGATCCAGGCTCCTGAGTGTTTCAGGTGTGTACAGGCAATGGTGAAGTCTGCCCCCTATGATGTGCACCCAGCCTGGCCGGCTCCTGCTTGGGCTGGGATGGACAGAGGCCTGTCCGCCTGAAATTCTCCCCCTTCTCTGCCTCCAGTCTGCCTCCTTCTCCGTCTTCCTTTCCATCTCTGCTTTCTCTTCCTCTCCTCCGCCTGGCTCTTTTTCTCTGCGCCTTGTAGCACTCAGCCCTGGAGGTATGAGCTGACTGAGGAGGAGGCTGTGGCCGCACCTGCTATTGAGAGAGAACTCAGAGAGGGAGCTGGAGAGGAGAGAGGGGGTAGGAGGGATGAGGGCTACATATAATTAAAGAGATCAGACTGCAATTAGTTTGTGTTGCCAAGTGCACTTACACAGTAATATACATTTAAGAGGCCAGTACATTCTATGTGATTTACTGTGTGCTGTATCTGAGAGCACAAATTTTAATGCAACTTCATAACCGAATGGATGAACATCAGTGTTTATATGCTGTTAGCGGATTAGTGTGGATCCATTATTTGGAGTGATGCAAGACCCATCTACTTTTATGACCTTAGAGACAGGTAGAATACCTCATTCTGTAACTAAGGAGAGGGTAACTCTGCTGTACAGTCAGTAAGTGTTTTAATTACGTCAAGTTAAAGACATCCAGTATATATATAAAAAGAAGTCAGTGTGGCATTATTTTAGTCAGTTTTCAATGAGACATAAGATCCAAGAAACAGGCAGCTGAATTGAAAGATTCTTTGGGCATGCTCGATTCATTCACATAGTGTAATTGTTCCCAAGTTAACAATAAGCTCTCTTTTTCAAAGCTATGGCCTCCAGCCTGCAGCCTGCGCTCCTTAAACAGCAGCGCAGTGTGAAGAAAGGCTGTCTTGGAAAGAAAAGGCGGTTTTTGTTTTTCCCGGCTGAGCCAAAGTAACCCTTTGGAGTGGAATCAGTTCTCAGCGGCGATCTGGACTGCAGAGAGAAGGTGCAGAAAGAACATGGAGCCAGTCCGATCACGGGTGTACAGATGGTCCTTGGCGAACGGCTGTGCTGACTCGTGACGGGGCAGGGGTTGTGCCCAGAAACGAGCAGACGCCCATCGCAGCCAGTGGCCCATGGAATCATTGCACATCACCTCGCACCACACCCACCTCGGTTGAGCTCCACCTCCGGAGCGCACTTTTTTTCTTTACATCTCGACAGGTTGAAGGTATTTAAGAAAAGGTGAATTCCTCGCTGAAAAGGGGAAAGAAAAAAACCTTTCAGCTGTTTCAGAGTAGAACTAACAGGCGAGTATGTGCGCAATTTACAGTATGTAGGATCAGGCCCTCATTTCAGATTCACCAGCACTCGGAAAATGAAGTATGATTTAGGTTTGACCCGATTATATATTTAATCTTTACAGAAATAAGACAAACGAAGTGAAATACAGTTAAGGAACTGGAGAGCCGATGATATTCCAGCCGCGGTATTAAGGGGAATTAGAATTGCGGTCTTGTGTAGCCTGGTTTCCCATCAGGCCTTGAGTGGGTTGAGGGCGCTGCAGGCTTGTGTCAGTGGAGCGGTGGCACGCAGAGGGCAGCAGGGCAGTGCTAATGGCCGGGGGGGGAGGGGCGGCGGTGGTGAAGAGGGGGAGGTGGGGGTGGGCGAGCCCTGCAGCATCGTTTACGAGATGTTCTTGAAATCTCCGCCATTTACAGCCAGAGGGGGTTTTAAAGACACAATTTGTTATCAAATGAAATTACACGATGTGGGTCAAGTCAGAAACGGTGACTCAAGAGCACTATGGGAAACTCCATTCATCAATAATGCACGACTGCCTTGTAAGTAGACGGGTACAGAATGGATTAGTGGAGCTTCTGCCACCAGAAGGCAGATTTTCGCTGGCGTTGGTTACCTGCTCCTTCATGTTGCTTTTTTGTTTTCACCTGGGAAGGTTCCCGCTGGGACGAACTGAGGTTGTAACAGAAAGACGCTGTGAGAAACCTGCTGAAGGGAATACATAGTTGTCGCACGTGGTGCTCTGTGCTCGTCGCACGCAGACAGCAATCCTCTGGAGGTGAAACGTTAAGTAAATGACCTGTCAATAAAGCATATTATACAGCACAAGGGAGGGGGGATAAGCTCTTTACTTCTGTGGCAGATATAGGGCACATTTACTCAGGGCATACTTCTGCAAGCAGGTCAAAGAAGGTAATCTCAGAAGACAAATGCAGTACTAGATAGATTCTATATGTGTTGCTCGTGCTGGAATTCGTGTGCAAGGGGGACTGAAACCTTATTTAAAATGAATTACCTCTGAATGGAAATATGTGGACATCGTATTTAAAATAATAAAATGATTTAAGACCAATTCTTTACCATGTGGGTCATTGTGTACATTCAAAAATAGCTGAGCTGTAGTAGTGTTGTAGCAGCCTCAGGCAGCTGTATTTATGCTGTCATGTGTGGGAATGGCATCTTACCCATTACTTGACTATGACTAACAAAGGGATCAGTTTCATTTCAAATATCATTATTGAAATGATCAAATATCATTTCAAGCTACGGTAGCTAGTTTTTGAAAGACATTACACATATCCCTCACCTAGAAAATGGTCACCTTGGCAACCAGTTATGTAAAGGTTGGCCTGTTTCAGAGTGGAATTGCTGCTTCTGAAGTTAAGCTCTGGGGCACAGATGGCGTGATATGAAATATTAAAATATAAATAATTGAAAAACATGCCTGTTCATAGCGTGTTAGTAGGCTGCATGGAGATGAAATGGATAAAATAAGTCTACTCATTGAACAGAGGGAAATAAAGAAATGTCATGGTGGTGGCAAAAATGAAGATTTTTTTATTTCAAAATGCACTTTCCCTCCCTATCTGGCTCACAGAACACATCTTGTCCCCTGGTCATTCAGATAAACCTGCTCAAGTAGCAGATAATCACCAGGGCTCTTTGACATTAATATCAGGAAACTATTGGAGAACCGGAAGAAAGGATTGGTGTTCTGAGGCACCGTCAAGAGTGCTGTTGTGGGCGCCGGAGAGGTCACCTCACCGGTGTGTGTGTGGACAGTGTGTGGAGATGTCGGCGGTGAGCGTGGGCCGCTTGGTGTGGCCCAGTAATTGGGTTAATAGCCACGCTTGGCTGGACCAGCATGAAGAGAGTGGAGGGGAAGGGGCAGGGGGGGTGTGCGGGGACAGCGGGCTGCGGCAGGTTGCTAGTGGAGTGTCAGGAGTAATAAGTGGCTGGCTGTTCTCCTCTCCTCCCTCTCTCCGTCTGTATCTCCCACTCTGTTTCCTCCCACTGCTTCCTCCTCACTTCTGTTTACTTGATGGTTGGAATGATCTTTATTCCCTGGAGGCTTAGCCATAGTCATGCAATTTCTGTAATTATTCATTATTTAAACACACAAAGGAGTAGCAATGAAGCGGTGAGCTGAAAAAATACCCAGGTGTAAATAACCATTTCTTCCATGTTGCTGTACCTACTGACACTGTGGTATTTGTTTTTCAGATGCCTTTGTAAACAGTCAGGAGTGGACCCTGAGTCGATCAGTACCTGAGCTCAAAGTGGTGAGTCTTCTGTTTTCTGCCTTGATCACAGTTCATCTGCAATGGTTTTAACTCAGACATACATCAAGTATTGCAATATTGTTCTTGCCAGTATTGGTATTCATGGAGAGAACACTGCAGAATAAAACACCTTTTAAATGTCATCCTTGGTAATATTTTCTACTTGTGCATTCTTAAATTATATGTTATAAATTCCCGTATATTGGTTTATTACAGATTACACTATAAATATTCCAGTTCTGACTTGTATTAAAAATGGCAAGTTTTCATCCTCCATTGTTGTAGTAATGTCCTAACAATGTGAACAGCTGAGTGAAACACATTTTCCACTAGGGTGCTTTTGCAAAATACTACATCTGCTACAACAGCAACAACTACAATGTAATTTCTGAGCACTTGTCAACCAGCTCATTAATACCGAAAGCTTTTTCTTTACCGTGTCTCTGTCTTTCTGCATATTGCCTTTCTATAACGTCTCCCAGGCTCACTGTCAGTGCCTGTGCCTGATTTAGATAAGCTGCCACAATGCCCTAAGGGACCCCAAACTGATTTTGTCCTATTTTACTTAAGGATATTTCAACGTATATTGCCTTCCTCAAAGAAAAGTGCTTAAAAATCAAATTTTTCATATATTCTGGCCATACTCTGGCACACATATATAATAATGCTGCACTAAAATATTAAACATTACAGTTGATACAATATTTATTGTATATCACCTCTAGCATCTTAATTATGGTGATGCATCCAAGTATCGCCTTACCTGAATTCTATCCATTGTGTAGCTCTCCAGAACTTAGGCTCTGTATTACTGTGGAAAGCAGCTTGGATTTACACCTTTGACAATACAGACCTCTGAGGCCAGCTAACGTTGCCACAGTAGACAGCAGCTACAGGATCAACCAATCATTTGTACCCGTTTAAAACGGGAGAAATCTGATGAGTATTTGACTTCATGTCAAGTATTTGACATTGTTTTAGAAGATAATCTGATCAGTCTGTGCTGCTAGTGACTAATAGGCATAGGGAAGGAAGTATTGGTCCTGTGCATGCTGGGAGAGTGTTCTCGGATTTGGAATAACTTCTCAGGTCCTGGTGTGTGTTGGTGTTTTTCCAGGGCATTGTGGGTAATCTGGCCAGTGGGAAGTCGGCGCTGGTACACAGGTACCTGACTGGGACGTATGTGCAGGAGGAATCACCGGAAGGTAAGGTCACCTTGCAGACCTCTAAATGTTACATCTGGTTTGCTAAAGACTCTTCTTATAACACTTTTCTTCTAGTGGTTTCTGTGTGGCTGTTAAACAGGAAACCACCAAAAACCTCTTTTTGTAGTCCCGGTCAGTCCAAAATAAGTCAGGTTATGGTAATTAATAGCTGTATTATCCATTTTTAATGATTCTAAACTTAATTTCTTTCATTTATATAGACTGATCGTTGGGTTGAGTGACCTGCATAGATATGGCTGTGATACAACTTGGCCTAATCACCAGAAAAGCTTCTTGAGTACTTTGTATTTTTAAACAGTTGCATGAAATCTCTTAGAATACCCACTATTGAAAACTGGCACAGTTGAGCTCCTTACTGAAAATAACTTTTTGTAAACTTCCTGTAGTCTTATTTTTAGCAGTCCCACTTTCTGCTGGCTCCACTGATCTTTAGCACATTTGCTTTAGGGCCTGTGTCATAGTTTTTCATTTTTGTAATTAAAAGAAGACAAAATTCCATCATTGACAACATTTCAAACCCTTAAGCACTGCCTGAATATGTGTACCAAGTGTTTGAATATTTAATGCTCTGCTGTTAATGTTATCATTAATAGATTTTGTGCTAGCTTTATAGAGTGACCTCTCAGGAAACCCTAGGGAGTGATTAGGGTTACTCTTTTTTCTGTTCCATTTTAGCATGAACTTAAGCTTTGTCAGAATTTTTTTCTTACATGTTTCAGTCTTCTTTCCTCAATTCTCTGCCAGAAATTCAACAGTAACATAAAAAACAAACATCCAAAGAGAACATTAAAGAGTGCAGAAAAAGTTGCTATAGTGTATTTTTGTCTAGTTTCATGTGCTTTGGCGGGAAAGCAGATCTCTTAAATTTCTTCCAAAAGCCTTTGAAGTAATTTAAAGCTTCATATTTTGGTCCAGGAAACTTGGACGGATATACCTTAAAGCATCTCTAAATGAACGAGGCTTGCAGGAATGAAACTCGCTGGATATTAACAATTAGTAGGTTGTCTTCATAAGTCTGGGATCATAGGCAGCTCCCGGAGTCTCTCTGTACAGTGTGTACAGTGCATCTTCAGTGATTTCTGACACAGTTTTTGTTCGGGGTCTTTTTTCCCCATCCTCTCTTCAGTCATTTATGCTGCTACATCAGTGCCTTCCTGCTTTCCATAGCCTGTGCATCTACCTAGTCCCTGCTTCTCCATGGGAAGTTAGGTGCTCATCAGCGAATGTAGAATTGCCTGCATTGGGCATTTTATCTTCAGTTCTGCTTGTCGTGTTCATTTTTTATTCATCTCTAGACAGCGAGGCAGAGACCAGGAATGGTTCCACTTGGCAAGAAGGAGCACATCAAAACAAAGCAATAAGCAGTAACAAACTCATCCCAGCTCATGAAAATCCAAAACCTCTGATCTCAGGGTATTTTGACCCTAGTCCACCCTCTTGTTCCTAGAAAAAGAAAACGCTATTTGATATTGCAGGCCCGTGGTTAAACAATCCGGCGCAGTTCAAAAATCTTTAGGAACCAAAGTGTTGATGCTTCGTGTTTAGTTTAGATTAAAGGATTTGCTGATGCGTTTTCTACATGCTGGCATGAAAGAAGCACTTTAGAAAAGCAGTCTCCTATCTTAACTTAAAATAAATAGTTAAAAGTATTGATGAATGCTTTCTTTTTGGATTCTGTTCTCAGCAGAAGAAAATTGCAAAGCAGGTATCACCGAACAAGAACATTTTGGAAAGAGTGTGAAACCAAAGGGAAATAATTGATGATCTTTTTCTAAGTAATGCTTGGTAATGGGTGATCTATTGTTGTTTTTATTGACTTTCCTATTGGCCTTTATTGGTAATGAATGCCACTGTGTCCAAGCAGAGAGATTAATTTACTTTCTGATCAATTGACTTAATCTGAAACAGACTGGCATTTAATCTTAAACTTTATATTAGGATCTGGAGCGTGATACAATTGAAACTACAGATGGAAACCTTTTTTCACTCAAGTTTAGACAGTTGTTTAGCCTGCTCTGTAAGCACTGAACATAGCCAACCATCTTTTGATAGATTGGAGGAAGAAGTCTGGATTTATCTCTCCATGGCTGACTCCGTGAGTTGATTGTAACCTTATTTTCAGCCTAGCATATCCTGGGACACCAGGATATAAAATAGTCCTATTGCGACTTCCTCAGTTTTCCCACATCCCAGTCTGTCTTGCCACGGGAGCACTTTAATTGCACAGCTCTCTGGGATAGTGGTTTGCAGTGCTTCTACGTGTACTGCTGGGCGGCGAGGGGAAAAGTGCCAGAGTGCAGATGTGAAAAACTGTAAATAGTATGTTTCTTAAAATATTTCCTTGTGAGATTTTACATTTTCTCATTATGACACTCACAAGGAATGCAAGGATGAAAATACAAAAGATTAAACGTTAAAACTAAGTCAATGCGTATGAGGGAAGAGCATAAAAATCCATTTTAAAATGCATTAGTAATAAGATTCTAAATACGGGCGATTATTTCTGCTGCTTCAGATGGGTTTCCTGTGGTCCATTATCTGTGAGATTGAAATACGAATACGATAATTCTAAAATCACGCCATTAAGGAAATCTTGTTTGCTCTGGTCATAGAAAGCTTATGAGATGTAAATTAATCATTTACTGTCCTAAATTTGTCTACAGAATTTTAACTTGAAAAGATTATGCACATCAGGGAAACAGTTTATGAAAAATAGGGAGACAGGTCATGTTTTTATTCCTGTGTTATCTTTATTTATGCCCATTTTCCAAGTTCCAAGTTCTGTACTGCTGTGAGTGGTTACTTCACCCTGGGTCTGGGCTGTGCTGCTTCAATCCCTTGTGCAAAGTCAGGTGAAATAAATATTAGCCAAAGTTTTTTTAAGAGACCCTCTGAAAGAAGACATTATGTATTGCTGAAATTAAGAAATGAGAATTTTTTTAATAAAATCTTAAGCATACTTGGCTCTGAAGTGGCCTAGTCTTTAAATTAATTCGACTTCTCAATGAGTCTGAAGGTTTGTGTGTGTTTAAGTGAAAGCCAATCTCTGTATTTTATTAACATGCAGAATTCCTCTAATCTAGCTTTTGGCTGGTGAACAACACCTTGATTGATTTTCAACTGCATGCTGTACATTATTTTTGATTATTAATAACAATACTGTTATTACTTCCAAAATTAATCAAACCTCGCCTAGCTTATTGGTCCTTTTTCTTTTACGGTTCAGGATTCCATTTGAAAGGCAGTGTGTACTGCAGGTCCTTGGGGAATAAAAGCCCCCTTACTAAAAGCGAACAGGTCCCAAATGTTTTAACAGAAGTCAGACTAAAACAAAAACACCCCCCTGCTTTTTAATAGTCACTCCTGTCCTGAAAGTGACCTCTTTTTATGAGGCCATGTTTTTTTATTAACAGCGGAGTTCTTAACCTTAAAACTTTTTCAAAGTGGTTTTTCCTCAGCGCGTGCTGGGACAATCCTTTGATTACTCTTACTCATTTGTGCACAGAATGCAAGCACACAGGAAAGCATTTATCATGTGTGGCTTGTGTAAACTTTCCGAAAGTATGCAAATATTTTTCAGAACGTCCGATTGTTTACAGTCCCGTTTGGTAAACACGATCAGTGAAGTCAAAATGCCATGTCTGGTTGTGCAAGTTTCGGCAGCAAGTCATTTTTGCCGGGGAAGCTGCCAGAGCTGCTTTGATCTCTCTGTGGGGCTTTTCCACGTGAGCTTGCTCTGTTCTCTCCCTCTGGGCTCAGCGGGTTTGTAGCACAGGTCCTGGGAGACACTACCCTTCCAGGCGCTGTGCGGGACAGTGTGGCTCTGAAAATCAGACTGGGTGAGAGACAATTTCACTCAAGCAACTGTTCTGGGAGTATGGGTGGAGGTGAGAAATTCACGTTCGAGTGAGGTCGGGAAGGATTAGACAATTCATTTTTTTTAAATGCCATTGAAGCTTGTCTCCTGGTGTATTATATATATATTTTATGAAATTCAGTATTAAATCCTAAATAATATGCATTGCTGAAGACAAGAATGAACGTATTGCTCTTCAGCTTCAGAGATTCCTAACATGCTGTACTTGCTTGTCTTTATTTTAGCTCTTACTTCTGTGCTGGATGGCTACAGTGCCTGGTGGCTCTTGACTGTATGTGCTGCTGTGCTTGGAAACGACCTGAATCTTTGATTTATTTTTGTCTTCTTTTATTTCCTCTCTCTTGCTGTCTGTCCTTTTTATAGCTGACATGGATGCAGGTAACTATATTCTCTCTGCCTTTCCCTGTCTGTTGCTCATTGAGAGCCCATGCTTCATTTTTTCCAGCACCACCCCTCTCCTCCTTCCATTGTCTGCCAGTCAGTGACAGGACCACTGTGATCCCACATGCGACCAGCAGTTTCATCTGGCTCAGCCCACAGCACCTAGCTTTCTCAGTGTGACCCACTGCAATCACAAGTTCAAAATGCTCTTTTACTTGGGCTTTGTGTTACTGATACTGTGGGGATTTGCCCCACGATCTACTGGGATCTGTCTGTGAGAGCTGGATGCCTGAATTCCCTAATGGCAGCTATCATATGAACACATAGTGTATTTCACCCTGATCTCCAGCATTTTCTGCTCCTCACACAATTGCAAAGTCATTGCCCCTATAATAAGTCACAAGGGGCTTACTTGTATATAACTGATTTAAGATCAGGTTTAAGGAAGGGGGAAAAGGAGGCCATTATAGCTTCTTGTATCGTATCGGAGAAGCTCAGAAACCCTGTATGAAGAGAAGCTTGGGGTTTTATCTCTGAGCGTGTTGAACCTGCTGGCCAGTTCTGTAGCATCATCTTCATCTCATAACTATTGTGGAAAAAGACTAGTTGTACTATGTGACAGCTTCATCTCTCCAGTAGTTTTTGCAGCATGACAGGAACGGACTGTGAAAATGGTAACGGTAGAAATGGACTGCGTCTGCTACAAGGGAGGATGTCTTGGGTTCGGAGAACTGGCAGGCCTCGTTACAGAGAACGCAGTCCGGCGATGTTGGCCTGTGGTCCCAGTGAGCTGAATCACGATCCCCGCCTGTGCTCCTCTCTCACAGCACTGCATCTGAACTGGAACTTTTCAGTGCCGAGATCACTTTGTGTAATGCTGTATAATTAGCTGAAGGAAGTGAGATTCAGGCCAGTTTCCCTTTGAAATATCCAATAATGAATACACTGACCACAGGTCTAGAATATCTCCAGCTGTGCAGTGAACACTTACTGTGTCGACATATCTTTTGCCTGAACTCGTCATGGGTGGGGTTTATATGAATGCAGTTACTTGCTTTAGGTAAATATTTCCAGTGTTTAACAGTTGGAACCATTAGTTAAATTTGTTTTACATTATTTCTAGCCTGACGGTGGAGGGCAAACTTTTATTTTGGTCTATATGTAGTGCATTTAGTAAGTATGGTTTATATTTAAGCAACACCCTTAGTTCCATTTTTGTTGTTTGTTTCTGCACTGTATTTTTTTTTAAAGTTATTCCGAGGGATTTTGGAATATAATGAACGTATGCATTTATGTATATAGGTCTTTATTTATTTTTTTAAATCGATTCTTCTTTTCTGCAGAACTTGGAAAATATTCACACCATTGGCTAAATATTCTGTTAGAAGCTGTGCAATTCCATCCCACCCCCACCTCATCACAAGGGGACACTGAAGTAATTAACAAGAGCTGATGAGGATAATTGGCCAGGGCCCTGCTCTCCCTCTGCGCTCCGAGAGTGGCTCAGTACTGGGAGGAGCTCCAGGGAGGTGGAGACCCTGCAGGGCAGCCTGCTGTGTTTAAGACTGCTCCACCTGCCCCAGTGGAAGGGCCCCAGCTAACATCTCATTCCTCCTCCTTGTTTTCATTCTTAAAATGTTCGTTACAAACATTTAGATATTTCTCCATCGCATTCTCTCGGTCTCCGATGGAATGAATGCTAAGCATGGAGCTGCCAAGCTAATGAGACTCGTTTATTTCCAAACCTTCAAGTTCTCCCCAGATACTCCTCTAAATTCTCTGGGCTGGTCTCCTCTGGCAGCTAAGAAATGCCTTTTTATCATTTTTAAATTTTACAGTCAACACTGTACCATACACACAGAATTTTGGCATTTGAACTTGTACCAGATTTATCTTTGAGAGGCACAAAAGTCAGTTGAGTAGACGGGAGCCCCGTTGTGTTTAAGAAGGATCAACCTCAGGAAACGATTTGTAAGAGACGGGTGCCTCATAAGTCTTTGGGCAGTGGGAAACTTGTGGAAATCCATCTGAACATGTGGAGAGCATGCCATCTCCACAAGACCAATGAACAATTGCCACTTGGACTTTTTTATATTCAAATAAATCACCAGAAATCGATCTTTTCTAATTAAAAAATTGAGCTCCTAAAGGTATAAGAATTCCTCATAATGATTTTGTTTCTGTAAGCGGTGCAGCACATTGCAGTATTTATTTTCACCTCCCTTTCCAGTGAAAGGGGAATATTGATGGTGCTTCACTGTTGACAGAAAGCTTTTTAATTAGGGAACACATTTCAGCCGTTCATCTAGTTTTCTATGACATCCCAGAACCTGTTAAGGGTTCAGTTCAGTACTCAGCCACTCCTCCGAGTTGAAAATGAAAGGCAGACCACTCCATCTGTCTCTATAGGAGTTATAATGTACACATGTGAATTCGAGCTCGGCTCGCTCCTTTTGGCTTGCATTGTGGAAACCTGCGTAGTCTTCCTGCAATGACATAAGAGTTGGGAAATGTCTAGAAATTCCCAACACCGAGCTTCCAGTCTCATGACAGTCGACACAGACATCTATAATTACCCAAATCCCTGATGTCATGGTGCTGCTTCTTGGGCCTTTAGTCTTCTCACTTGACATTACCTCTTAAAGAGAGGAACCACACTTTCTTTTTTGTTTTCTGAACGGACTGGATCTACTCCATATAGTAGCAGAATCCGCCTGGAATGTCTTATTCTGCTTGTAACACAGCAGCACACATCACTATAACAGTCTTGTATCCCAGAATTTGTGTCTGACAGGCTGGAGACTTCACTTCTTTCAGTCTTACAAATTGGAGTTATGATGTTAAGGTATTTCCTTCAGTCTGTGGCATCTTTGCAAGTTAAAGAGAGTCTCAGTAGCTATTCTTGTCAGCAGTACATTGCATTGTCATTAAAACAAAACCCTTGGGTGCTGTCCATGTTTGCGGTCACATGAATTCTGTATGGAAAGGAATTATTGCTTGAACCAGCGCTCTGCACCCCTGACTAGTGAAGGCACACAACTTAAACGGTGGAGGTTTTAAAGACCTCCACCTTCAACCTGACTAAATGAGTCAGGTTGCAATGACTGTGGAACGGTTTGGAGCACAACTGCTACTTTCTTGCCTTATCGCTTGATTCCTGACTGCAAAACACTGTGGGCGACGTGTCTCCGATATCCCAAGAACCGGTTTCTCTTAGAAACTAGACAATATGCAAAACTGAACTTGGGGAGAAAATGGAATAAAATTAAAAAGCTTTTCATGACAGACAGCACCCACGTAGCTTTTTACTGTTCTGTCCCTGCTGCACCCTTGAATCCGGGCTGTGTCACAGTTAGGTTAAAGTAATTAACAAAACGTTTTTTTAGCTGGGTTTGCCTCAGTGTTCGGACCTGTCAGAAATTCCTGAAAGAGAAACATGCAGCTCTAGCTCAGCCCCCCTTAAACCTTCCATCTGACCAACTGACACCTCGCTCTATTCCCACGTGAACTTTCGTCTCTCTTGCATAAATGTGCAACGTGCTGCTTTGGTTATCCCACAAAACGTGTTGTTTATGTATAAACAACATTGCAGTTGTTATTGCAGCACACCCATTAATGTCGGAAGCACCGCGCTGGGGAAGTGTGTACTGAATTGAAAACAGTAAAGGCAAATGCATTACATGCCCTTTTTTAACTCTAGAGTCTGAGATCTTGTAACTATCCGTTCTGTGACTTCAAATCATGTGCATGTCGATTGATAAAACATTGCATTAGAAACTTGGTGTTGGGCACTTCCTTCTAACAGTGCCTGGAGATTGAACTAATTTAATCTAAGATCCTGTTGCTGCTCTTCAGAATGTAATAAGTTTGAGCCATTCTCCTATATGTATGAAGCCCTCAGATCCTGTTACGAGGTATTAGAATGAAATTACTGTTTCCCCTCCGTCACTCTGCGCAGTGTAGGGAGAGGTTGAAAGCAATTGTCCTGCCTTGCGTGACTCCTTTTCCTAGCCCTGTTCTTCTTCAGCCCTCAATGGGCTCCTTTCCCTCAATCTCCATTAATCCTGCAGAGGAGATCTCAGTTTCCACTTTTCTCAAGAGGGCCGTTAAGACTCTTCCCTGTCAAGGGCCATCTCTAGCACATGATGTCTGGATTTCTGTTTTTAGCCTAGGATTGATCCACTCCTTATACTGGCTTCTGTTGAAGTGTCTTATGCTGACAAGGATGCAAGTGGAAATGAGTGGGCAGTGCTTTCAAGGCAGTGAACAGCAGGCTCCTCTTTACACAAAGGGTTGTAGGAGTATGGAAGGGTTATTATTATGGACTTGTGATTTATTGTTACTAATTATTGATGCTGATTCCCTGGCTCTCTTTAAGAAATGATTGGGTGAGATCCTTAGGTTAACAACCAAACGTAATAGACTGAATGGCCTTTTCTTCTTCCCATGCTTAATATTTTTATGAAAGAAGTGATTTGTCATCTGTACTGATGCGCAAAGAGCTGTCGTCAAGTTGGGAGCACTGAGGGCGGGATTTCCTTTAATTATGATTTGTATGTTCTTTTCATTTAATGTTGTATATAATATTTTTCAATGGAGTCTTAACTACTGTAGATCACATCCTTTTTTCCTTAGTAAGCTTCTGTCTTGGGAAAGGTACATAAATAACTTAATTTTATTATTAGAGGCTTCAGAAGCACACACATATGGAATCCTCTACATGACCCTATCTGTATTACATCAACTTAGCCATTTCTTCTCTCACAGTGGACCTTAGACAGAGCAGCTGTCTAGCTCTGTGTCTACCCAAGGTACTATGACTGTACTTCAACAAAACACATCGTAGCTCTGTAGTGGGAACCAGATTTCCTCTCATCTTCATGTCCCCCTACCTCTGCATACAGCTGTGTTCCAGATGTGTCTTCACCACTCGTTTGTCCAACAGGCTCAGTATTGTACCCAGAAAGCCTTTGTGCATTTACCTGTGACAATCCATCAGCCATGAGGAAACATCGCCATCTATAACTGTACTGTAGCAATTGCATACTGTAGTGCCTGTTCACTTTTAAAACGATGTGGAGTTTTTGTTCTTGTGGAAAATGCAGTAACCTCCAAAATACAAATTCTTTGCGTTTCATTTCTTCTGCTTTGTCGTTGTTCTACAGCAGCAGGTATGTCCAACCCTGCTCCTGGCGAAAATCATTCCAGCAGCTTTTATAAATAACCATTTAAAATCAGTGTTCTCTAAAGACTTGGAAAATTTCTTTGTGATCAATTGCAGGTGATGTGTTAAATGAAGCAACTCATTAATCATTTGGAACAAAGCTCTGGAGCCCCCCGGGATGAGTTTTCCCAGTTGAGCTAATTACTGGCTTAGTTGATCAATAACTTACAAGTGTTCCCAGTCGTGATAAGTTAGTGATATTGGGTCACCTTTAAGCCTTTCTTGAATGGGGCTCTCCAGGAGTAGGAGTAGAGAATCTTGCCTTCTAGTATGAAGAGCAGCTTATCTGCTGCAAGAACAGGACATAAGCACTCCGATATGGGTATAGAAAATGAAATTTATCAGGGTGCCAAAAACCTCAGGAATCTGTCTTCTTCCGTGTCGACACCAAAGAAGACAGTTGCCACACGCACAAATGGCTGTGCACATGCCCCCTGAGGTAGCAAATTCTGCATCTTTCACAAGAGCCCTGTCCCCACCCCAGTCTCACCCCCTCTCACTGCTCTGCTGTCTCTGACAGGCGGGCGCTTCAAGAAGGAGATCGTTGTGGACGGACAGAGCTATTTACTGCTCATCAGAGATGAAGGGGGCCCCCCAGAGGCACAGGTTGGTATTGGTGGATTCTGTGTATTTTATGTTCTTAACATAATCATGATATTAGTTGGGGTCAGTTATTTGTTTCAGCATGTTAACTGTCTTCCTTTTCACATTAAAAGGTTGTCAGACCAGCTGTAAACAGAATTACGTCTCTTTCCTCCACTGAGAGTTGTTTTCTATACCTGCTGTACTTTTCCCACATGGGACTGCGTTTAATGCTTTGACTTAGCTTGCCTGCAGTTTCTGCCAGGATGTAAAATAAATGACAGGTGCAGAATAGCTGCACACTCACACCCATAACAGTAAGACAATGTAGAGGAAAGCCACTGAAAGTACTTTACCAGGTCTCTGTTTCAGTTGTAAGTGTGGCATTGTTGGAGAACAAGCATAATATGATTAGCCTATTGAATTGATTAGAATGAAGTGTCAGCAATGTAATTGCACATCATTAAAATGTTTCATTAAGAAAAATTTGTACAGATTTTGAGACATCAGGTGTTTCTATTTCAGCCAGTGAAAACAAAACCTATGGAGAACTATGGATAAACATTTTTTGCTCTTGGGGAAAATATATCCGGAAAGTGTAGAAACGTTCAACAGAAAAGGCAGTAAAGTTTACATTGTAGCACCCAAGTAGAATCTCCCTGTAACACTTTACCAGTTTGGTGAGCAATGGTTAATCTCTGATCACATCTCTGAGTTCTCAGTGACAGCCTCTTGCATATTCATGTAGAGTGTTTTGGCACAGAAGGGCGTGTCTGGAAATTTTAATACTGCACACACTTACACAAGATGGCTGTGTTTTTGAACTGCGTCTTCCCACAGCGCACAGAGGTCATGGTTTTAATTGCTGGGGTTTCGTTTTAGGGATTTTAGGTAGTGGAAATCGGAGACCAAAATGATGTTTGAATGGAAGCTCTCAAATGTAGCATCTTTTAAAATCGACCTTTTTAGGGAAGGATGGAGGAGAATATGTGACCAGTTCTGGTTTAGATCCGAATACATGGACCCTTCAGGATGAAGACGGGCACTCTTGGCAGCATTAACAATTCCAAATTCAGCAATCTGAGACGGTTGATATCAAACATGGAATCAAATGGTACAATAAGTATACAGGTGTAGCAGGCGAATTCAGGCACAAAATCTGCTGAAGGTCTTGCTTACCGGGCTGTTGCAGAGACGGAATGATTAGAACACACTCCTCATTGCTCTCCGAGCTGCAGGAGCTCTTGTTAAATTGTTGAACCTAGTTTCTAACGTGCACCACTTCATTTTACGGGGTTTAGAAATGTTTGAACTCTTGCTAGGAATATTTGACCTAAACTGACATTTCTGGGGTTGTTCCTGGTGGATCATCTCTCTCTGTTTTGATATCTGTTACCTGTCTTGTCAGTGTGGTGTTGAAGTGCCGGTTGTCTCCCTGCCTGGCACGCCCTCTCAGAATGTAGGACAGGGTGTCTGGGCTGAGACCCTGGGTCGGTCAGTGACCGTGTCCCTCTCCCCTGTCTTGCAGTTTGCACTGTGGGTTGATGCCGTCATCTTCGTCTTCAGTCTGGAGGACGAGATCAGCTTCCAGACGGTGTACCACTACTACAGCCGCATGGCCAACTACCGCAATACCGCTGAAATCCCGCTAGTGCTGGTGGGAACACAGGGTAAGACTCCCATTAGGCAATCGCAACTGATGGCCTCCTCTTGACTCCTGCATGAGGTGGATCAACTGCTTATTGTACTTAAAGTATATTCGGTTTATTACTGAAATAACATCCCATCCTTTTCTGTGCTTTCCACTTCCGCGTTTGGGAATGGATTGGATCTGTTTATTTGGGCTTTTGGTTATCAGCTGTGGAGTTCTGCCAGATCTTACGAGCTAAGCAAGGCTGGAGGTGGTGAGTCAGACGCGAGAAGATAAAGAAAAACCAGGTTTCTGGTGACGTTGGCTGCCATTACATCATCCATGTAGTTGTTGCACATTGGTGGTGGTGGAGGGGAGTCCCCATTACCTGTAAAGCGCTTTGAGTGAAGTGTCCAGAAAGAGCTATATAAGTGATATAAGTGTAAGCAATTATTTTTATTATTTATTATAATTTCACTCTATCTGGCCTGCCTAAGATCTCCCTCAGTTCGGGTGTTGGGGCGGTTTCACACGTATCCACCTGATCTGCTTTATAAGGCTGTTGGTGCTTCAGCCGGTGGGGACTGCGCTTCACTGATGGATGAAGTCGGTCCCCTCCTGTATCTGAAGTTCTCTGGGATGCTGTGATATGAAAAGTGTTACCTTATTATGAATATTCTCAGTAAAGCCAATATCGCCACCTAGTGGTCTCATTCTGTAGAAACTCAAACAGACATTCTGTGGTCCTTATAACCGTAATAAATGCAGAGTTTAGGGAAAAACGTTTTTTCTTACTTATTCTTTGATGCACATTAAAACGGATGAAATTCAGAAATGTTTATTCTGCTGTAGATTCCTTTGTTATAGCACATTAATTGGTAAGTTTTTAGCATATTGATGAAATTAATGAAAATTGTGTGTGTGAGTTTGAAGTTTAAATAGGGAGAAACTTCACAAATAGGGAGAAAATCTCACTGCTTTAGTGGTCATTTTATTTTTTTTAAAGATTACTTATACAAACTTGATTGTAACAGCATAGGTTCAGTGCCGGCTGCACAGCCAGACCAGTAACCTGCGTGGATGTGTGGAGGTATTGTGATCTTTTAGCGCCCTCTTGTGGTTAGAAAAGTATCTGTTCCCTTGTGCTTTCCAGGCTGTTCATAGTGAGACCCTGTTCTCTTTCACTTAGTGCGTAGGTTTGGTGTGATTTATTATTGATTACATAATTACAACTACAATTCTCTCCTGAGAGAGATTTTTTTATATAGTTGCAAACTGAAATTCCAGCTTCTGCTTCTGTGGTGTGCTTGAGAAAGGAGTAGAGGAAAGACTCACCTGCCTGTTGCCTGGATTTTTTCACCACATCCCAGACAGATCAGGTGGTTTCTGATGTATTATGATGACGTACATGAAAATGGGAGTATCCCTCTGACTGGACTCAAATAGTCCCATTATGTGTCCTTAGTAATTCACTTCCCTCTGACTCAGACCACAAAAAAACAGCACAAGAAGGTGTGCAGGCACTCAGACAGCCCCCGGGTAAGAGGCACAGCCATACACAAAAATGAGGAACCCTTTAACTACCATTAAAATACCAGTGTGGTTAAAGAAGCAAAATGACTGCTCTCACACAAAGAGAATTGCTTTTTACCACTGTAACCAATTTTGTATAGACAACACCTGAATAACCTTGGGGTGTGTTTCTGGGTTTTTTAATACTGGTGTGACTCCATCAGAGTAGGGAAGACAGTCCTTGTTTTCCGTGTTTTGGGATCCCCCTGATTGTCAGCAGATGGAGCCCTGTCACCTTTCATAAAGGCTAAAGCACAACTAGCACTTTCTGCGATAATGTCAGTGTTTCCAGAGGCTCTGAAACAACTTGTGCTTCTCTTTCTTAACATAAACGTAAAAGATTTTCTTCTTCACTGTCAGACAACTATGTAGCACCTTATTCTAAATGTGTTCTCATATTTTACAATAGTTTTGCACCAAGGCTTCTCTTGAGACCTTAGCCATTCTCTGACTCTTGATCACAATCTTTTCAGCATTGTAGATGAGTAACTGCGCTCATGTGTAGTTACTCTTGGGGCCTGTATTTTCTGTATTTCCCACCAAGTGTCTCCATACGGATGTGTAATATTGCATGTACATGGGGGTGCTGGAATAAATTGTAGAAGTGAGACACTTTAAACATTTTTTAGAGAAGTAATTAACTTGTAGATAAGATTTTACTTATGGATTTTTTGTTCATGAATAACTTTATTTCTTACTTATTAGTATTGCAGTATTGTTACTGAATTATTAAGTAAGAAACAGCATGATTCTTTCATCATTACTGATTGAGATACCAGTCAGCTCATAATAATAATAATAATGAACTTTATTTTATATAGCGCCTTTAAAGGTGGCTTCTCAAAGCGCTTTACAGGATGACAATAACAATAAATAAGAAGACTACAACAATAAATAAGAAGATTTCACAAGATAGGACACTATTATAATTACAACAATATAATGTTGGATTCTAGAGCATACGAAAGATTACGAATGACAGGAGGCAGTCCGCTCCCTTTAACATTGTTTAGTAACCAGTAGCTTAACCGATCCGAGCATCTCATCCTTCAGTTTTGTAAAAGAACCTGGAGCACCAACTTTGACAAAACTGCTTGGTAGCTTGTTCCCGACTCCCACAACACTTGGTGTAAAGAAGTGCCTCTTGCCCTCAGTTTTCAAGGCACATCTCCTTGGTTTGCATTCACATCCTTTACTTCGTGTTTCACTGCTAAATCTGAAAAAACATTATAGTGCAAAGTGGTAGTTACACAGCTCATGGGGAGACGTATTTCTGAAAATGCACGGCTGGGAAAACCAGTGATGGCCGTTTCTCGCTGCACTGTTGTGTCCTCGGTGCGTCTGTCCCGCAGAAGCGGGACTCTGAGCAATAACGGCTGTCCTCCTCTGTGCTCAGATGCCATCAGCTCTGCCAACCCCCGGGTGATCGACGACGCGCGGGCACGCAAGCTGTCTACGGACCTGAAGCGCTGCACGTACTACGAGACCTGCGCCACCTACGGCCTCAACATCGAGCGCGTGTTCCAAGACGGTAAGGCAGAGGGCCGCGACTCCCGACACAGGGACTTCCATTTCGCACACGTGGAGGCTGTTTGTCTTTTGTTTCCTGCTCCGAGAAGGCTCACGTCTCCTTAGTCCTGCCTGTGTGGATTTGTCGTTGCTAGCTGTTCATTAACACCACTTCGCTCTAGGACTGCGTTTTTCATCACGTGAAGGCTGTTTCCCCGCTGCCATCCTCTGTTCAAACCAGAAATGAACAGAATATCTCATATCTGAATGAACTTGTGTGGAGAGAGATTTATTTTTCTTAAACATCTAGACCAAGAATGTATAGAAGTGCTAAATGACAATGCAGTATCACAGCATTTTCACTTAGCTGTCCACTAGGGGGAGCTCTTGCTCTCTTGCTGAGTGGCTTGAAAGCCAACGTGACTTCATGTTGAGTCAAGTCTGAGTGTCATTTGAGTAAGCCCAAGGCCACCTTTTAAGGGTTAGTTTAAGATCAAAAGTCATTGTTTCCATTCTCAGGGTCATATTTAGTTTTGCTTTTGCATGCATGTTCTTTCTGCTTAACTGATAATGAAGTCTGATAATGAATCTGTGCGTGACTGCTTAGATTATTTCTTTTTTGCACTTAACATCTGACATGAGGATTGTCTTAATTTAGGCAACTCTGAATTCATGGTTCATAATTTGAATTGTTCAAGGTTTAAATTAGTATGTGAGCAAAAAAAGCTTTATCATAATCGATGGTGATTAAATGCAAAATAAAAGAACTATAACATTTCAAACTTTTGTCTATTTGCGGATCTGTGTTTATTGTTAAGTTTTTTATAATCATTATTAGTTTTAAAAGTATTTGTGGGCTTTAAAAATAATTTTAGGATATTGAAATCTCGTTTAGCAAAGGGCAGCTGATTTTGTGTTCAGTTATTAGAGACAAGCCCCATTTTTTATTCTTTTAAAATACCCACTTTTATCAAGTGCACTACATTGGAATAAAAAGTAGGTTATTCAGCACTTCTCATTTCAATTTCTTGAAAAGTGCTCATAAATAGTAGGACTGTGATCCCAATCACAGACCCACTTTCACCTCTAGTGGAATCTGCTTCCACTGGTGACCAGGTGGAGAACTGTGAAGAGACTGCACCAGGCAAAATCTTTTGAACTTTTGCCTACAAAAAAAAATGTTTTCGCCATCCACAGCGCAAGACAAGCAAAAGGAAATTTAGCTTTGCTCCAGGAGTAATCAGGCTTGAAAACAATGAATGTAAGGAAGTTTTATCAATACGATGTCTATTGGATACAGCTCCCTCTACAAATGTGCATCAATACCTTCCTAAATAGTATGGTTACTTTCAATCATTTTTATGGTGTGTTTGCCATTTTCTATGTAGATTTTTTAGTAATGTTGTTTTATTTGTTATGTGGTATGTGTTGCACTGAATGCATCTGAAATTGCCCTCCTGATGAATAAATGTGTTTTGAGTTTATCTGAAATAAGGAAGGGGTACAGATAGGACTGGCAGGTATTTCAAGACACAGCGCCCAGTAAGCGGCTCTCAATACATCGAACACTGCAAACAATACCGTGTTTGTTGTTTTTTTATGTCTTCGGAAAAACATCCTGCAGTGCTTGATGGCCCGGATTCATCCCTGTGTCATTCCGGTGTATTTTTGTGGTTTGCGGGATTCTGTGGTTTTCTGTGATCCAGAACTGTCTGACTGCGCCAGTAGTGTTGGAGGGAATGCTGGAGTGTTTTTTTGAGGCTTGTGGTTGAGAAGGAATATTTCCACACTAAATGCCTGGTTATTATCCAATTAATTATGACACTGTTTGGTTGAAGTCAGGTCTACTGTAATTTAGCGTGGCCCGCGTGTGTCTCTCTCTGGCAAGACCATCAGCTGCAGCAAACGGGAGCAAGAAAAGGCTAAGCTCCTTATTATTACTGACGCTGTCTCCTTGCATTTTTCATTTCATTATCCACAATTAATCACGTGTTTTAATTATCCAGCAAAGTGGAATTCACTGATGAGGTTGAAAATGATTATTTTAATGTTTCGTGTCGCTGCAGTGTCTTGACAGCGGTGCTCTGCCCGAAGCAGTGTGTGTGTGTGTTTGCACTGTGTGTTTAGCTTGCCTGAATTAGCCTGATGCTCCCATCAAAGCATTAAATGTGCTGTTGTTGTTTTTCACATGACCTTAATTTAAGATCAAGATCTGATGTCTTAAAAATAACAGTAATAGAGAAGACCTTGTTTCTGTAGCTGTTATTATTGTTTTCCCTTGCAGAAATATGAATTACTGTTTCTCAGTCAAGGGAGGAGTTCAGATTCATAGCGAAATACAATAACAGTGCAAAAGCCCTGGGATTGTCTTCCTACCATGTGCTTCATAGATTTGCTCTAGCTTCCAATAGAAGAAACAGTGTGGGGAAGCCACTCATGTCTAAAATGGCAGCTACAAGAGTTTTTAAACCTTGCCTATGTACATATGCAAGTATTTATTTTGACTGTTAGGAGAGCAGGCAGCACATTACTAAGAACTATTGCTTAGATGTCTCCTGATGGTACTGTTTTTCTTAAGATACTTTTCCATCCAAGACATGTATGTGCTCAGATCTTGCCTCTTGTGTCTGTCTAGGAAAGGGGGATTAGTTAGCGTGTTTGAGAACAGCAGTCTGTTGCTGTGTTTCCCCCCCGCTGGCCTCTCCGTCTCTCCTGTGACATTTTGCTTTATCTCGGAGCACTGGTTTACTTAAACCCGTACTGAAAGAGCTGTGTGATTCAGCGTCCTGGTCTGAAGATGCGATGATATATTTTGATGGCAAACGCCAGCAGTTAATTACTTTAATTATGGAAGAATACCATCTAAGAGGTTTTGCCATTTCAGTGTTCCTATTTGTAACATAGGCTTAAGTGATGTGAGCATGAGGTGTGTGTTACTAAAAGCTGTAAGTATGTAGATGTAAGTTTACGCATAGTCATAATTGTGTATGAGTCTTTGTTATGTATACACCTTGTAGGTATTTAAATACATACATATCCCATGCCTTTGTATGAGCTTGAGCTGATTTGTATGAAAAGTAAAGTTATATTTCATACTGCAAGAACCACATCATTGTGGCTGTGCTACAGAGCTGTCATCCCTCAGTTTGCCATAATTCATTCGCATAATATAAGTGAGTGAATGGCCATTGAAGTTTGGAACAAAACAGATAGTATTGGTATCATTTAATAAACAGGGCATTTGCCATTAAAAATAATTGATGTAGTTATCTAAGTAAATCTGTATAATTCATTCTCCGAAGACAAAAGAGAGAAAAAAAAAAGGAGAAGCAATTTATTTAAATAGGGTCAACTGCAAGGAGCAGATTTTGCAGTCTGGATTAAATTACTGGATAAGTCTTGATGTAAACAGCCTGTAATGTGCATTATAAGTCATAAAATGCAAATCCATTAACCATGCGGATTTATTGAGTCAGAGACTGTCTTGTTGTCCGATGACAGAGCTGGGCTGCTCACTGTCAAACTGGAGAAGAGAGGAAAGCAAACCGCACATTAGTGATTTGCTCCCAAAAACTCCCGTCCATTCGCTGGTTAATTTAATTATCCCAATTATCATTGCACTAACAGCAACAGCAATGTCAGAGCAGCCTATCCTTAATGCTCGGTAATGCAGACTTCCATGTATAATTGAGAGAGGTGCAAGGGTTCTGCTGATGACATGCCAGCAGTTCTTAAAGGTCAACGTTATCATCATCATGATCATTATTTTTGTTATTGTTATTATTTCATCGTTAAAATGTCTCCGCCATCATAAACGTGTGATTCACAGAACGCAATGCAGCTTATAACATTTAAAGCAAAGTTTTATCTGCATCAGGATAAACACCTGAGTATTACACCAACATAATCTTTTACCCTTTTAAGAGAATCTCAAATCAGAAAGTGCATTTGAAGGGGCTACAAACTGTCAGATCCTCAGCAGTGATTAGGTGTGAAAATCATTGCACAGCAGCTGTGTGAGTGTTGCAGCCTTTCTACTGTTTGAATAAACTTGCTTAGTCAAACATACAGATCTAAAATGACATGATAGGTTTCTGTTTCGTCTTCCTCTGAGATATTTATACAAGATGCTGCACTGTTTAAACCTGAAATGAGGCAAGCAGCTGTACAGTTGATGTGTCTGTACATCAGAAGTATTGAATAATAGTGATTTAGGTGCATTGGTCATATAGAACAGTCCTATTTATTACCCCCTTGAAGATTAACACTGGAAACTAGCAAAATGGTAAGGAAAAAAAGAGGCTTGTGTAACATTAACAACAATAATAATCTTGCGAGGTCAATCTGACTTTAACCAATAGATTTTATAGTTTATAATATTGCACCGTGCAGGTGGAATCTCATAAAACTTTTAGCACTTAAATGTGCTAAAAGACATATTGAAACAATTTTCCAATGTTTCTGTTTTCAACCCACCCATCTGTCTTCCTCATCCTCAGCATTAAAGCAGGGATCTGTGGTACAGACACTGAGCATGGCACAGGCCTCGCTCACGGTTTGCCTACGATATTTGTGTGTGCAAGACCTTGGGAAACAGCTCGACCGATCAACACAAGATTATGAACCCACAATCCGCACCGAATCTGAGCAGCATGTACCTTACTTGTGAAACATGTAACCAGCAATCAGGCACGTGGAAGCCATTGGTCTCCTCTTGCTCTCCTCGACCACAGGGGACTTAAGATCGAGCGCAGAGCAGCCAGGCCGCCTTGTTTAATGAACTTGGAGAACAAGGGAGTCATAACCTTCGTTCATACTTCCTCCGCCTCTTCCTTCTCTTTGCCCAATATCTCAACAACGTGCGATCGCGGTTGGAGTCTCGGGCGATTATTAAAATAAATTAGTTCTGGAGTGTTTTCATAACAAATTGAACGACTTGTCTTTCGGAATAAATGTTACTTTTCCCCTCCGCTTGTCTGACGCCTCCTCGTTAGGACACAGAAATTGGTCTAATGGCCGCCG